CTAGGTCACTATGGGAACCATTCACGTCTTTGTTCTAATTCTTGGCTTCTTTAAGGACGGCTAATAGAAGCCAATGCAGAGCGGGTAAGTTTGATAGAGAAGAAGGGAAAGGGTAGGTATAAACAGTGGGGAGGCAGACCACTGGGTGAAGAGAGTCCCCAGACCACAAATCAGCCAGGGACACATGAGAAAGGGAAATAGTTGAGAACTGATGGAGAGAAATTTTTACTACATTAGAGACAATAAACATCTGTGATTGAACAGAAATGAGATGGGGCATGAGAGTCAAAAGGACTAAAATCCAGGTCCTCGAGGGTCCGTGTGCCATAGGTGAGGCTAGAGTTACAGATGATATGACAGATGATGACAGAGGTACAGACAGGTCATGGCAGGAGTCCCCAAAATGAAGAACAATCTATTATTATTATTAGTCACAGACCAGGCACTGCAAAGGGCAATGAGTTCCTTGTAATTTTAGACCCCATTTACTTTGCTGAGAAGACAATGACAATAACAATACTAAAAAAGTTGAGAATGTCCTTTATCTGATTAGTCTTTAACAGATGCTCACAGAACTCTCTAGTTTATGAAGTGCAACCAGAAGCAATTCCCCAGGGAGGAACACAACCTGAACACAGAAATTCACATTTCAGGAGACAAACTATCTTCCACAATTGGTTATCTGTCTTGGTCGTTGGCTGATCAAAAGCCCTCCTGTATGTCATCAGCTTTACTTATTAAGGGGCATGGCACAATGGGTTGATTTCAGGCAAGCCTTGATGGAAACAATTGTACTTATGGGAAAATAACAGGTTCAAAAGGTCCCACAAGTAACTTATGGACCCACTCACAATAATAAGCAATGCTAAATGTTAGCAGATGCTAAACTGTGAATGTAGCACCTCTATAAATAAAGACCAGGGTCATCTATGTTTACCATATCAGATTTCAACTGTCCTACAGATCAAACTCACTTAATCCCTTTGTAATTTCTTTAAGTCAATGCTCTGTACCTCTTAAACAGGTTACAATGGCCTTAGTGTCAGGGAGAGCCTTGATAATAAGCATTAAGCTAAGGAGGAGCCAGGTCAGTCAGCCTCTCCTCTGAATGATGAGCTCCTGGGAACAGAGCCCAGAGAAGTGGAGGGAATGGCAAGGTGATGCTCAGGATTTCAGAAAACCAGCACGGTGGGGTGAGCGGTATATCAGCCTGACAGCAACCACATAGCAAATGACCAGCCCCAGCAGGTAACACATGCATCTTCACGGGAAGGCGGCCATTCCAAAGCAACAATCTGAGACAGTGTCACACCAACTAGGAGGAGAAGTCACAAAGCCAGAGGCTGTCAGTGCAGGAGGCACAGTAACCAGGAGGGGCTGTGAGCCGACACAGCAGCTCCGAGTGCCCCGGAGCATGCACTGCTTCCCTCTGGGCCTGGCATACCTGCCAAGGATCAGTCAAGTCCTCAGAGCCACCTGCAGTCTGTGTCCAGCTCAAGCCACTGAGCTGCCTTTATTTTGACAATTTATGCAAAAGCAGCACTGAAGCAACCAAAAAAAATCTAACAACCTTTTCCATTTCTTCATTTAACAAATATTATCCAACAGTCCAGGCACCGGGCTAGGGTGGACTGGTCACTAAGACAGATGCAGCACCCAATTCACCAACCGAGATGCTAGGAGGACAGGCAGGCCAGGAGCAGCCACAGGACAGGCTTCAGTGGATTCTGGGAGCCCCACTGCAGGACGCTGGGAGGAGTATGTGGGGGAAGTGGCTGAGCCCTGAGGAAAGCTGAGACATGGTCAGATAGAAAAGCAGGGGGCCAGGAGGAAGCAGTGTGCCCGGGCACAGGGGGACCCAGAGTGTGCCGAGGACGAGGACGGAAGAAGCATGTATGGCTGAAGCAGTGAGGGAGGGAAGGGCGGGGAATGTGGGTAGAATTCGGGGTGAGGGGGGTAGTGCTCATCAGACGATTCTGAGAAAGAGGGGTGAGCATGTTTACGCTCACTTCAAATCCACTATTTAAAGGTGGCTTTTCATAGACGTGTAAAGATCTAATGGGAAATTAGAGGAAGCTAAATGCCCTACAAAATTATATAATGACTTTTAAGAATCTGCATAATCATTAAAATTAAAATTCTATTGTACATACCAGTGAATTACTTGAGAATTACAGACATGAGACTAATCCTTAAGGTATAGTGCCTTACATCATTCCCATATTCAAGACATAAAATCTCTTCAGTTTGTAGTACTAAGACCACAAATTCAGCAATCAGAAATAAGAAGAAATTCTTTTTATTTTCATTATCAAGGCTCTATTTCTCTAGTGCTATGATCAAACTGTTATTGATTATGCCCAGCCTGGGAGTCAGAGAGACCTACTTTAACCCTGACAGGGCTCCCTGCTAACTGGTGGGGTTAAACAAGCTACTGACCCTCTGGGCCATTTCCTAATGAGATCCACCTCAGGATGTGCGTAGCTAGGGAGACAGAGGTTGAGCTGGGAACACTCTCCATTTTCCTGAAGAGCGAGTCCCACCCAGAGAGGCTGCGCGCCTTTCTCCAGGCCCAGAGCTAGCAGAGCAGCCCCCAACCCCACAACGGGAGGACTGCAGACTCACTCCACCTGCTGCTCTTTCCTCGCCTCAGTTTTTGGTAGTCATCTTCTGTGGTAAACGTAGTTAAATTCCTACTCAGAGGAAATGTTTTCAATGTGAAAAAAGTTCTTCAATAAAGAGGAAAAAAGCAAGATGAAGAATAACAATGGGTACGTTAAACAGGTGAATTATATGATCCCGATAAATCGGTTAAAAATAAAAAAAATGAGAACAGCAGTGGGTGAGAAGGGAGTAATGTGGTACTTACAAGTAGTAAGACTTGAGGATGTTAAAAGTTTCACTGCTCCATCCTCTTACCTGTAAAATATGACTGCTATTACCTGCTCTGTTTTTGTCAGGGAACAAGGATAAAACTGATTTCCAAAAGGTAAAGTCCATCATGATGCATATGCTGATGATACTCAAACAAGCTGGAAAAACAGGAGCTTTACTTCTTCATTTCTAATGACCCATAAGCCTCCTAAAATGTGTAAGAAGGTCACCCCCCACTAGCAAGCACCAGCTCCTGAGGCTGCTCCTTCTCAAAACACACATCTAACAGCAGGAAGTGTTCCAGAATCTATGGCTGAGGATAGCTTGGCTCCTGCAGCATAGGTACAACGTAATCAGGAGGACCCATTCTCCAAACCCAGGGCTTCCTGTCCTGCACACAACAGGCTGAGTGCTCTGCTTTACTAGTCATATGGGCCAAAGAGTCAAAGTCAACACAGATGGTCAGAGTGATCCAAGCCTGTAAGAGACCCCAAGTCTATTCATGCTAAACCGACCGCAAAACAGACCTCTTCTGAATTTTCTTCCCACTTTATGAAGGAAGTATAAAATGAATTATTACTCATGTTCTCGTTTGATAGGGCCACCATTTCCAAATTCCCGATTTACTGGTTTCATACAAACAGAACATCAATAAAAGGGCTTTATACAAGCAAGGACAAACATAATTTTTCTACTGTTTTAAAAAGACTAAGGTAATTTTTGCCTCAATTCCTACATAATGGTAAGCTTAAAATCAAGCTATTTAGCCTAGAGTCAGATCCAACAAATCAGTAGAAAAAATAAATGGGAAAACATGCCAACACATAACCATGGTAACACCACAGATGCACCAAGAAATGGTGTGCTCATTTGCTTCACCCCATCTCTTAAACTGAAATGTAAGTAGGGAAAAAACTGCACGGAGAACAATCATGAGTCTGCAATTATTGGGTGATACAAAACTGCATTCAACCTGCTGTACGAGACTTCAGAGGCAGCTACAGACACAGCTCAAGATGGCATAAGCATCAAGAAGGTCTCAATCTCCTACTTACTGGTTACTCCATTTTCTCACCTGGATAATGGGTGTTAAAGATCAGCACCTTCAAGTAATAAACCCAAGGATCAAAGCCAGGTACAGCAGCGCATACCTGTAATCTCAGCACTCAAGAGGCTGAGGCAGGAAGACTGTTGTGAGTTCAAGGCCAGCCTGGGCTATATAGTGAATTCAGAGCCAGCCTATACTACATAGTGAGACCCTGTCTCAAACACAGCCTAACAACCAACCAACCAAACAAACAAAAACCAGGATCATTCTTTCTTCATCAAACAACCCCATGTATTTCCAAGATTTATATCTTATGAGTGGCCTATATAGGAATATGGTGTGGTAGAACATAGTGATACTTCACTACAATCAAGCTGATACTTTGTCTGTAGAAAGACAGGCTGAATGAATGAATGAATGAATGTCAGGCTACCTGCCTTTCCTTCACAGAAAAGCTGCGTTCAGAGTTCTCATATTCTGTATCTTGCTTCCTCAGATTTGGTCTTATCTCCTGGATTTTTTAATCTGTGGAAACTATGTCTTAACATAATCTTGATTTATAAATTCATAAACTTGGCAGAAGGCAAGAGAAGCATGGAGAGGCTGCTGAGGCATTCACCACACTGATGGCCAGTAAGGACCCATGGCCTCCCCCATAGGTCAGTCTAAGGGCCTCTGGCCTGGTCCCGTCCATGAATAGCAGTGATGGTTGACACAAACAGAGGCCCACGTCACCCAGGCCAAGCCTTTACAAATGTCGTATGTGCCTCATCCTGGGGACCGCCATAAGAGTTCCAAGAGGCCAAGACCACTACACATCCTTCCCACTCACTTGAAAAGTGAGCCGTGCAAAGGGTCATCTGCCTAGCACTGCAAAATCGAAGTGGTGGAGCTAAACTAAAGTAGAGGTACACCGTGACACGACGTGTTCCTCCCGTTGCCAGTAACACTTTGAATGCCTTCTGGCATCGTTCAGCAGACAAGCCGCTGAGTACCCCAAGCCAGATGCTCAGCTCTTCTTTCGCCCCAGGCCTCTTCACACATTCACAGAGCAGCAACACCAACACCGGCTACTCACAAGGTACAGCACGGCGGTAAAGGTTGTCCCTTATGGTCTGCTGCAGTTCATGATCAGGAGACCCTTTCTGAAACCGTTGGCCGAGAAAATGTCGCAGGTCCTTGTTGAGCTTTCCTCCTGTGAAAAACGCACAGAACAGACAGAGGACATCAACAGCAGGACTCCCTGGAGATGGCTATCCTGAGAAGGGCATGCGAGCAAGCCACACACGGAAGTTCTAGTCCAACCCGGTCCTTGGGAGGGTGTGCTTTGCGATCTCCTCTGCAGGGGAGAAGCAAGCAAAGATGTCATAAAGTGTGACCCTATGTCACCGGGGCTAGGACGTTAGAATAACCAAGGCTTTTGCCTTAAAAAGAGGTGGCACTCACAGACATGATCAGTGGGAGAGTAAAGGGCTGAGGCCTCAAGAGAGACAATCCAGCAGTAACTGTCAAGTTATAGACTATTCTTTCACCAGGGACTCAACTGGTAGGAATTTCCCCTGTGGATATACTTGCATAAATACGCTCAAATCTCCAGCATCGTTGACTACAGCTTTTTTGTGATAGCAAATAAATAAAAATAAAGACAAAAGATTTGGAAACAAACAAAAAAGATCTATTCAGTAAAGCACAGCTTATCCATATCATAGCTATTCTGAACAAGGTATATCTTCATGGGCTGATATGGTAGGAAATATTTAGAATAGTACATAGTTTTTTGTTTTGTGTAAAAATGAATTTTTAAAAGAAGAGGGGTTAGGGGTATTCAGTGGTAGAGTACATGCCTGTATCTACAAGGCCCTGGGTTCAATCCCCTGCACTAAATAAATAAATCAGAGAGACCATATATTAATGGAAGTTTGAACATTGATTTCCATTAGGAAGACAAACTTGAACTGAGGAAACGATGGAGACTTTCTTCGTTTTATAGATAGATAATATCTACATCTACCTATTTCTCTCTATATATCATGTACTGTTTTTTAAACACTAGACGCATATTGCTCTTTTATTGTTGTTGTTCTTGTTAAGCCATAGTAATTTGATGGTCTATGTGTTCATTTCCTTGCAATTCCCTGTATTTAATAGAACAAAAGAAAAGGTAATATAATCATATTATTGCAAAAATGTATCAGAGAAAAGAGACATATTTTTAAAAATCATAATCAGATCACAATCTATAGAATCAACATAAGGCTTATAGATCAACCTAGCTAGCATTCTAGTGTTCACTCTTAATGGAGAAAGATGCTACAATGACAGCTAAAAATAACAAGACAATAACTTAGGTAACAGCAGTTTTGGCTTTAGAGAAACAATGTAACAACCAAATAACCTGTGAGACACTAAATTCATGTCTTCAGATGCTATCTTCATCTTCAAAAAGCATACATCATGAAGGCAGTGACGGTTAAGACCATGATATTTCCTAACTAGAGCAGGAAACTACTGATCTTCATTTTAGTACCATGTTCAAGTAACTCAGATGCTCACTCATTTGGGAATAAACGAATGGAAGCCCACTTGAAATGCTGCTTAGTTATATTATACCCAAGGTCTCAAGTGAGTCAATCTTAGGGTGTTCAGTTATTAAGACTCTGTTTATTGAACCAAGAAGACGGCTCTTCCCCACTCTCACTTCACACCCGGAGTGAGCAAAATGTTTAAACAGGTAATTTAACAAAGGAACACATCTGGCCATTAAGTGTAAGAAAAGATGTTAGACATCATCAGTTATCCGAGAAATACAAAGTAAAACCATAATGAGATCCCATTACACATCCACCAAAAAAGAAAACATAAAAATGACCAACAACATCAGGTTTCCTCAAGGCTGTGGAGCAATGCAAAGACTATATATTGCTAGAAGGCATGAGAAATGGTTCCTCCCCTTGGGAATACAGTTTAGCCTCATCTTATGATGTTACACCATCACTAGCCAAGCTACCATCAATTTCACTCTTATTTCTATGAAGAAACTGAAAATACTCTGGACACACACAACAAACATGCACATAAATCTTCACAGCAGTCCTTTTACAAAAGCCCCAAACTAAACACCCCAAATGCATCCCAAAAGGTGAATGAACTGTGACATTCAAACAATGAAGTGCCACACAGGAATTAAAAAGAACAGATTACTAACACATACAATGACATTGATAAACCTAAGTTAGGCACACAGTAATAAGCAGAAGAAGCCAGACATAAAGAGAACATGTTATATGATTTCATTTATATAGAGTTTTAGAACATGGTAAACTAATTTATAACAATGAAAAAGAGTTCAGTGGTTTCCTGGAGTGGAGGGAAGCGAAGACTAACTGGAAAGGAGGATTCAGATCGTGGGGTATATATATGAACGCTACCATGGGAGAAACTTCATGAGGGGAATATGGGGCTGCTCTTCTGTTTTTATAATACCTTGTGAGTCTATAATTTAAAAATAAGTTTTACAAAAGGGAGAGCAAAAGGAAATTTTGGGGGGAGATGCTAATATAGTATTTGATTATGGTATAAAACATGAGTTCATCTGACAAGTTATAGAACCATATACATAAAGTAAGTGCATTTAATTGTAACTGAATTGTACACCAAAAGAGTTGATATCAAACGTTTAAAATTTATATAAAGGTCAAATGACGTCTATGGTATGTACTAGACACTGTCATAAATGCTCAGTTCTCTTTCCCATTAGAAAGTTGGGTGGAAACAGAGAGTAAATCCTGGTCCTCGAGCCTAACAGGCTCAGTCTGAACCCTGGCCCCCCTGTGTATTAGCTGGTGAGCCTGAGCACCAGGCTTAATGTCAGACCCTCTCTTCTCTCATTCGTAAAAATAGAACCATGATCTAACAGCAGCTCTGTCACAAGATTGTCATGAGGATGGAATGGCAATGACACATTTGGATCGGACTTGGAAAAGAGAAAGCATTTAATGAAAGTTGGAAATCATAATTATTAGAATGTCAAGTGGACAAGTGTAGAGGTGAGCAGGGGAGGAATTAAAATCAGTCTAAACATGAACTGTTACTCTTTTTTGTTTTAAGGGCACATAGACATAAAGTCTACCCATTGGGTTAAACATAGCCAGAAACAAAACACAGATTATGGAAGATTTGGATTAAAAGGTATTTCTTGTGTTTCTGGAAGTGAGTATAATAAGTCTACTTGCTGTTAAACGGTGTGGACTTATATAAACTAGGTGACAAACATTTAGTGTGTATTTAATATATTCTAGGCACTGTGTTAAGACTAAAGTTCAGAAAAAAAAGTAATAAACCATCGCTATCTGATAGTCATATCTGCTATTTCTAGCTTGACTGAAAGGACAACTTTTTCCAACAAAACTGCTATTGCCTATAATCTAGGGTTTTGTATTTCTTTTAGGAGACAACAGTTCTTGACATTAAAAAGATGGTGATGGTTTTCATTTGAGCCATGATAGCAAAGATGTCCATCATGTCCAGATGTAATGCCTGAGTCAAAAGCAAAGTTCCAGAGAAGATTCCCAAGTCAGTATCTCCTTTTCCACAAATACCAAATTCTTACATTGGTGGGGACCACACAGAATAACTATCAGGATAAACCAGTACTGCATGGATTGGAGGGCATTCTTAAAACACTCTTGGCTTATGCTTGAGGATAATGTTCAAATCAGTCAAGCCAGCTACAGTTTATGATAGTCAAATTAAAACTCCTCTCTACTAGGAACATACAAAAGGACAGGGTTAACTATGCTGCTGGTTAACATTTACTCTGTGTTCCTTGACATTTGCATGCGAAGAGCCTCTACCTTCTCATCTTGTTAAGAATACTGTACTTTCTGGCATCCCATCTCAAATTAATTGCCAATTATTTGGAGGACATATATATAAATCTTCTCCTAATTGTCAAGGGCAGCGAGCCAATGAAGTAATAAATTGTAAGGCAGAGTTTGTCAGGGAGTCTTCACTTTCTTTCAAATTCAAGGTTTGTTCTGTAAGTGGAAACAAGAACACAGTTCTGGAGCAAGTGGAATTTTTCCTAACGAAAAATTTCAGAGCTTAGTGTAAGACAATTTTATAATTTACGTGGAGGAAATGGAGCTTATACTTTGAATTTGTCATTATTTTAAATTTCTCTATCTTATATTTAGATATTTGGAATTCTGTGTCTTAAATTTCCAACAATGTCACTGCTTTTTTCATTTCTTCCAGATTATAAAAATTTAATAATGTTTGGTTGATGTAACACTTATTTTAAATATTGTATAATATTCCATTTGAAAAATATACCAAAATGTATTTATCCTTCATGGAAAATTAAACTTTTTCTAATACAAATAATGCTGCTATGTATGTCACTATAATGGCTTAAAAATTTTTGTGATTTTAGGCAACAGACCAGATTTCCAGAGAGAGCATGTTTGAGTTCTCTTAATTCACTTGCTTGTAACAGAGGGGGCAAAACCTAAGTTCCTTCGTGTGTTCCAAGAACATCCACATCTGGAAGCTGCAAGAATGCTTTCCACTACAGTAAAAATTGACACTGCAATAAACTTTAAATGCTTTAGGCTGAGGGAAAGTTGCATAATGATATTAAAAGTAATCAAATTTCCAGGTGATTCTGCTTTAGCACACACTTTTTCCAAGCAACAATCACAGTTGTAGGAAAAATCCATTTATTAAGGTTTCTCCTGCAGTGCAGCCACTACAGCAAAAATTAGGTGTCAGTTAAGCCCTTTAGATTTATATAGGATGGGGTTTTAAAAAAATAAATTTATAAAGTAAAAGGGAAATTGTCTTATAGTCATTAAATTTTATAATCCAAAATTCATTTAAATTAGCTTTACCTGAAAAATATGTTTGCCACTTGTTTCTTTCTAATACGTTTTTTTCTGATACTTTTCTCACTGTAAAGGCAGCATGAGTCATTTTGGGGAGTTACTGTTGGCGCGTACACTGTCAGCTGGGGATGACAAAGTCCTAGAGATGGACAGGTGCACAATCACGTGAATACACTGTATGCCAAAAACTGTACTTACTGCTTAAAATGAACAATTGTATGTTATGTATGTTTTGATACAGTAACACAGTGACACAATTATAAATTTAAAAAATACACAGAAGCACAACAAAGTAAAATAAACTATAACC